CTAGGGCCTTTCAGGATCAGAATTTCTGTTTTTTCTGTTGCCAACTCTAGATCTTGTTTCACCATCCATCTATTGACTTTTCGACAGCTTCTGTTGACTAACATTTCTAACTCCAAGTTATTTTTACACTGAATGAGTAGAGCTAAATCGTCTGCGTATGCAATAGCTTTGGTCTCTGCTCCATAGTCAATTTCTAGGATTTCATTATATAAAGTGTTCCAAAGCATTGGTCCTAGTACGGATCCTTGCGGTACGCCTGCTGATATTTTCAGGTCTTTAGGTTTTGCCACTTGGACATACCTTTCATTGAGGTAGTCCTTAATTATGTTGATCAAATAATCTGACACGTTTGCTTTTTCCAGTGAGGTGATAATGTGACCCCAATTGGCTGAGTTGAATGCGTTTCTCACGTCAAACATCACGAGGGCAGCCCATTTCTTTCTCGTCCTTTTTACAGTGTCAGTTATTTCTTTTACCGCATCGATGGATGATCTAGATTTTCTGAATCCGTACTGTTTGTCAGATATACTTCCATTAATCTGTAATTCATCTTCTAGGCGACTTTTAATAAGATTTTCATAGAATTTCCCCAGGCTGTCTAGAAGGCAGATCGGCCTGTATGAGTTGGCAGTCTCGGGGTCCCTGCCCGGTTTAAGTATTAACGTCAGTCTTGCCTGTTTAATCATTATGGGAAATATTTGCTTCTGGAGGAGTTCATTGAAGATCCTCCGAACCATCTCAGGATTTTTCTCTATGATGATCTTTATCGCCTCAGGAGGCACACCATCAGGACCAGCTGCTCTTCCTAATTTAATACTTTTTGTCGCTATTGCTATTTCTTCAGCCGAAAAAACAACAGGTCGAACGTTGACGTTATTTTGAGTGAACTGTTGTGGGGGCTTAGCAGGAAATAGAGTATTAGCTATTTTCTTCCGTTGTTTTGCACAAAGGCTGTATGGGGTCTCTGTTCTTAATGTTTTTGTGGCAATTCTATAAGCTTCGCCCCATACATCATCTTCTAGTGCTGCGCACATGTCGATACATACCTAGGAGAGTTTGTGCGAACCAGTGGTAAAAGTTTTCGTTTGTTTTGCATATTTGAATACATGTGATAGTAATATTCGTGAAAAATATGGACATCAAATTTGTGTGAGTATTATTTAACTCTGAAAATATTATCAATAACATGTGAAGGAATGTTATTATGTTAAAACTGTTTTTGTCTAAATGTCTAAATTATTATGGCTATACAATTTGCCTCTATACAGGTGTGCCCATATGGGTTCGTTAAGAGTTAATGCCATTTAAGAATAATGTGCTTTATTTTAGGGGAATTACGGTGGAATAAGAGTGGTGGGTTTTTCGCTCAAAAGGTGAAGAGAAAAAAGACAAAGAAGGTGGCTACTTCATCTATTTATTGAAGACGTTTCGTGTTCCATTCAGAAAGCATCATCAGTTCATCTGAAAAGAACAATATGAAAAACCAAACATCCATAGAAAAGTTATTACAAGTGTGTTACCTCAAAAAGACATGTAGGAGTCAATGATATTAGAATTGTAAAGAAGCTTACGACAATGGACATTATAAGATTATGTTGTATAAACAATAAATTAAACTAAATATAGTTAACAATTTGCTCAAACTTAGCACAGCAAAAGAACATGTGGTAATTGTACATGTATATAAAAATTATGTAAAAAAAACCTTAAGTAAAAAACATTAATATGAAGAACTAAAAAGATCAAAAATGCACTTCCAACAGTATATCAATAGTTAAATTTAATTTTAACTTTAGGTAACATTATTAAAGTGATTAAGATTGAAATCTAGTAACTTAAAAGTATAATGAAGTTACCACTCTGAGCTTCTAATCTGCTGCTGGTGAAATGAAAGCAACAGGTATTAACAACCGCCAACAACGTGAAAATGACAGTGACCTTGAGGTCAAAATATTACAGAACAGCGTAGTTGACGGTCGTACTCCTTAAAAAAATAGAGCTTTGCAAAGGCGTGCTATTTATTCTAAATCCAAGCTTTCGGTGGTTTTTTGCCACCTTTATCAAGGTTTACAAAGGAAATTACTATGTTGTAACAATTTGAATGATGCAATAAAAAAGCTATAAAAAACTTACCTGAATGTAAGATTCGTGGCATAAACAACAACGTTAAATAACATGATATGTACTGAATTGCAACTAACCTTAAAAATGTTACTGTTTAAAAAGACATTTAAAAATTAATTCATACGTTAAAAAGTTAAAAACAAAATGGGGGACGACATGTTTAAACAGTCGTCGTTGCAAACTTGATTTCAGTCACATTTCACAAGCAGAAAGAGAAAGTGGGAGGACAATTATTGTTTACATAGTTCGAAGAAAATACAAAAAACAATTTTCAAAATAATGTCTAACAAAATACCGTTTATGAACAACTGTATTACCAACTTGAAATTGAGAGGGAAATTAAAAATATTATTTATAAAATAAACAATAAAAAGAAAATAGTATTCACTAAATAGGTTTAGAAAAAACAAAACTGAATTCATAACTAAAGTTTGGTCACAAAAATTAGCAATTAATAAAGAAATTTAAAAAAAAGAAAACTCTGAGATGCAAAATAGCTTAGTCAAAAGTCAATATAAAATTGTAAATTTTGCTAAGATTCTGGATTTCAGATCTTTTATTCAGATTGTTATCACTCTTTCTGATATGTACAATCTCTAAGAAAGTTCTCTTAAATTTATTTTTCTCTCTGGCTAATATTTTTACATTGTTGAAATCTATCTTATGGTCTAATCGATAGTATACTCTACCCAAGCATAAGTAGGTTTGTTTAATCTACAGTCACTCTTACGAGAAATGATTAGCAGACAATTTGTCGGCAGGACAACTGAGTGCTCCAGCTGAGATTGTATTTGCGAACAAAGATAGACCTTGATATTATTGATATTTTATCTGCATCAACTCATGTACATGTTCCAAATAAGGATAATTATTCACTAAATATAGCCATCAAACCAGCAGTCACCAATTTTGTTGAAGGAGATTTGCAGGGGACTACTCTAAATACCAATCGTTGAGCTATTCAGAGATATTTGAATGCTTTTTCTCCGACGATTTGCTTCAAATAATTTTACATGAAACGGTAAAATATGCTTTATTTCAAAATTGTTCTGATCCTAATCTGACCATAGAAGAATTAAAAGTTTTTATTGGTATTCTGATCCTCAGTGAAATCAATGCTTTGCCACCGAAATGATTAATGTTTTTCCCTTATGTACATGATTCAACAATAAACAGAAACATTATAATTTTAGCAGAAACTGTATGGACATTTAATGATATAAAAGTTCAGAATTTGAAAGCCCTACCCCTACTATTTATTACAGCGATTGTTCGATGCTACATTTTGTAATATTTGCTTCAGAAAGTTCGTATCAAAATTCATAAAAAGCGTTTGAGGTCTTCAATCTACCATAGTTAATGAGAGAGACTTTTTTGCCTAATGAAACTAAAATATACTACGATGATATATTGAACATTTTTTAGATTACTATAAACAGTAGTAAATACAATTTGAAAACCGAAGTATTTTATTATTCAACATATTCCCCTCTTAATTACAGCGAATCTGTAACACCTCTAGTTCATTTTTTTTAAGTATAGAAAAAAAAAACCAAGCTTTCACATCTTATACTCATCTCTTCTTTGGTGAAAATTTACTAGCTCTTCTTCATTTAAGCTCTTCGACTCTTCTTCATTTAAGAAGAGATATGATAGTCAGAATGCTAGGGCATGGACATTGCCCTGTAAAAAACAAAAATAGCTTTGGAAAACTTTCCGCGTCTTCTCTTAAAACTTTTTCTCGTAGAGTGGTTATTAATGGCATATAGTACTTCGGTTATTTTTCTACAATAACTCCTAACATGGATAATTTGTACACACTCATGACTTCTTGTCCAAAGCCTCAAATCTGTCACTGAGGTCCGCAATAGCCCGGCCAATAACCTCTAACAAGGCTACTTGCTTCATCGCCACTCAGCTCATCGGCAATTTTTTCTCATGCTTGCTAACAATTTACTCTCAATAATGGCTTCATTAAAAGACCTTGAAGGTTCCGGGTAGCCAAATCTACCGTGAGATCTTTTCTTTGCAAAAATTCATTGACATGGCTAATCTTTTTAAACAAAGCATGTCAAAACACGCCAAAACGATGAATTATACTTTCTCAATATTTTATAAAAGGGAACTGGCCTCACTCATAGTTTGATGTGTTGAGAGATCATGGTTTTTAAGATCTAGAGATTGCACAACTTTACCGTAATTTTTGTCTGCAGCATCTAATCTTGCAGACCATCTTTCTTGTCCTGCTTTGGGGATATATTTTCGCAAAACTTCCCAGCATGACGTTGAAGCCGCAAATAAAGAATACTGATCAAAGTTCCGAAAAAAATCTGAGCCTCATTAGTAAGTAAAAATTGAGGGAGTGAGCAGTATATGGGACAACATATGCTACCTAGCTCGTTGTCCTGAAGTAATCTGTCCTGGAGTAAACTCCTTTATACTTCCACGCCATAGTTGCTTCACTGTTGTAGGATTGACCTCTACCATTTTTTAGAATTTCTTGACTAAATCTTCACTTGTATTGTCACTAACTAAGAAAAAAATATAAATAAATAAGGTTGGTTACTTCCTCTACCTCCCATGTATTTGTTTTGACTGGCTGATATCCGAACAATATTGATTGTGGTATTATTTAAAAAAATTTAAATAAGTAGTTTATTTTTTTAACTCTTCGATAAACTCATATATGATTTTTCTGACGGATATTCTTAAGTTAAAGTTGATTTCAAGTAATCAAATGAACATCTTTCAATAAAGTCGTCAAAGAGGAACTAAACTGAAAATATTGAGAATTGACAACCAGTAACTTGATTTTTACATATTTTTCCCAAAGAAACTTTTTTTTTAAATAGTGTATAATGTTGGATTTATTTCAGTTTTACTGAAGAAACGGTGAATATTAAAGTAAGCAACTACAGAAACATGCTGTTGGGACATGGCGAAAAAATAGAGAGACCCGTAGATGAATGGGGAAGACCAAGGTAAGTTTTTAAATTCTTAATATTGTTCTGAAGCTATTTTCTTGTGGCATTGTAAATTAATTACTATTAAACTGGGAATAAGCCACAATTAAAGATAAAAATACATTTATTGACGTTTCAATTTCCACTTCGGAAATCGTTCTCAAAATACAAACAGTAAATTAAACAAATTTTGTTTTTTGTTACATAGTGAAAAATTCTTCTAATAATTTAATTTTATCTGACTCATTTATATTGACAATTCAGACATACATTATGCATTTTAAAGTAGACGACTTTAAAATGATATTGCCAATATTGTTGAGTTGCGCTCCTGGGACGACTTTACTTATAAGATAGTTCATTCGATTACATGAAATCAACTTTAACTTGAGAATATCCGTCAGAAAAAAACACGTTGAGATCTATTTTGTCCAAAACCAAACCTAACAATGAACAAGAAAGGACAAAGAATTGCATTTATAAAATACCTTGTGAATGCGATCAGTTTTATTTAGGTGAATCATCAAGGCCATTAAATGTTAGAATAAGTGAACATCAATCTTATATTAAAAATAAAGAATTTGATAGATCTCAAATCTGTAAACACGCATGGGATAATGAACATAGGGTTCAATGGAGTAATTCAAATGTAGTCCTAAAAGAAACGGATGGTAAAAAAAGAAAAATCAAAGAAGCGGCTCTAATTATGTTAAATGAGGCCAATTGTGTCGCAAATTCTTCGGCAGAATGTAGTAGGATCTGGTTACCAATATTGAAAGAGGAAGTTATTAATAAGAAAATACCAGTATTAGTAAGTCAGTAACATATAGAGGATACATCATTTATGTTTTTTAAATAACGTAACATATAAAATCAGAATTTTGATGTTTGTTGAAGGTAAACTAAATTCACGAACAAATACTTACAATGTCGGGATAGTATTATGAGGTTTTTTCCTGGTTTTCCCTCATAATTTACTATGGAATCACTAACAGGAGAATTTTACTGTCATCATGTCATGTGTTTGTCTTTTTAAAGACGAATTACATGCTATGATTTTTTCTGACGGATATTCTCAAGTTAAAGTTGATTTCATGTAATCGAATGAACTATCTTATAAGTAAAGTCGTCCCAGGAGCGCAACTCAACAATATTGGCAATATCATTTTAAAGTCGTCTACTTTAAAATGCATAATGTATGTCTGAATTGTCAATATAAATGAGTCAGATAAAATTAAATTATTAGAAGAATTTTTCACTATGTAACAAAAAACAAAATTTGTTTAATTTACTGTTTGTATTTTGAGAACGATTTCCGAAGTGGAAATTGAAACGTCAATAAATGTATTTTTATCTTTAATTGTGGCTTATTCCCAGTTTAATAGTAATTAATTTTTAAATTCTGTATACAATTCCAAATTCCACATTTCACAACTGATTTATAAATTGTATAAAGTATTTGATATGTGTACTTTCCTATAAATATAATAGTAGACTAGAATTGATCGTCAAAGAATAATTACTATATATTATACAGCAGTGATGGGCAAAGTTTGAAGCTGGCCAAAAAATTAAGTTTGCGGGTCATATTTTTTATTTAAAAAATACAGTAAGATATCCCTATAATATGAAAATTACATTAATAGTAATGTAATTACATTGATAATTAATTTTAATGTAACCTACGTGACACATAGTTTGGTTTTCGTAACGGGTTTGGAATGAGAGAAGCATTGTTTGGGATGAACGTATTTGCTCAAAGATGTCGTGATATATTTGTAGATCTGTAGTGTTGTTTTATCGACGCCAAAAAGGTATTTGATTGTGTTAAACACTTTATATTGATCGAAGTTCTAAGAGACATTATCTTGGATGTCAGAGACGTTCCCATAATTACAAATTTGTATTGAAATCAAACATCAGTTTTAGTAGACGGTTTGGAATCGTAAGCTCTTAATATTACAAGAGACGTACAGCAGGAATGCCTATTGCCGCCCCTGGTTTTCAACGTCCGAAAGAATGGGCGTAAACGTAGAAACGTTCCACCTTCTGAAAAAAAAAGTAATAATATTGTGAACGGTGAAGTCATCAATAATTTGAGATATGAGGGTATGAGGACAGTACTCTTAGCTTTTACTGAAGAAGATCATGCAAACATTTCTTGCCAGTGTCTTCAAAATACTCGTAATAAGTAAACAGTAGAATATAAAATGGTCTATATTTCTAAATAGTACCAAACTTGAGCAAAATGATCAAATTGTTTATCCATTAGTTAAACTGGAACGCAGTGAGTCACGTTGAAATTAGATCCAGAATTAGGCACGCCAGAACCGCTCTAGATGGATCCTAAGGTATTAATGTAACAGAGACCTAAAATTGGCATTGCGGATTCGCCTACCTCGCTGCTACGTGTTCTCGGTCTTACTTTATGGTGTCGAGTCTTGGACTGTGAATTAAAGTGATCTAAATTGCCTTGAGGCTTTCGAAATGTGGCGCTATAGAAGAATTTTAAAATTTTCTTGGGTGTAGGAGATTCGAAACTCCACAATACTAGAACGTCTCAGCAGGACTGCTGAGATTATAAAAAGCATCAAGAAGAGAAGGTACTTCGGACATGTAATGAGAGGTACCAAATATAGTTTGCTACAAAATATTAAGCAAGAGAAAATAGCAGGTAAACGCAGTCCAGGATGAAGAAAGACTTCTTGGTTGAAGAACTTGCGAGATTAGTATGGTATTGATGCAAGTATGCTATTTAGGGTGGCAGTGAATAAAATTAAGATAAATATGGTGGTAACCAAAGTTCTGAAAGGACATGGTACATGAAGAAGAAGAAGAATTTGATGTATGAAGCTGAGAGATTTTTCATAATAGTTCCTCATTATTTGGCATATATTTTCTTAAATACTTGGCATAAGTAAAAATTGTTCGTTCGGCAATATATTTCTGACCTAGCTTTTTATGTTTCATTATGGAAAAAATTAGCCCATAAATATATGAAGGTGTGAACATTGTACATATTCTCTAAGCAATCAACATTAAATTTGGAAAAACTGAATTTTGGGGAGACCTTGTAGATTTTGGAACATTTAGAAATAATTGTGTTACTACTTTAGATTTGGTTTATTTACTTCATAGTTCTTACTAAAATTCTTCTTTTAAATTCGCCATAAGGCTTCCTAAAATTCTTCTTTTGTTACTATTATACGCTATGCAGCATGTAATCCTTTTTGATGGTTGTCGAATGTACACTGATCCTTCTTCCGCTCTTGTCATTATTATGCTAATGTTCTGCAACACTCTCCTGTATATCTTAACCATGAATGTTGGTTGCGACCAGGTCTTCTAGAACTTTCAGTTTTGACAAGTAAGGTAAAGTCTTTCGCTGTAAAGAGATATAGTACTTCTTTTGAAATATTAGCTCTTCTTAGGACCTCATCATTTTTAACTTAATCCATGGAATTGTAACCACCTTCCAAGACACCATATTTCGAGAGCTTCCACACGATTCAGTGATTCCACTTTAAGTTACTAGGTCTCACTTTTTGAAATTATCTTCATACTTCCTAAGCTTGTATTTCTTCAGAAGTCAGTGAATTTAACCTCTTGAAATCATTTTTAGTTAGCTGATTGGCAAATAAAACAAATTTTTGTTTGAAATCTTTAAGGCCAACCCTATACGGTCAATAAATTGGTTTTTTTTCATTGAATCCTAACATTTGATTTGTTCATGTATGAAAGATCTGTGAAAACCATTCCGCAGGCCAATGTTCCTCATGGAAAAAAGGCATTATTTCGTTTTTCGACTTTAATGTAGCATCAGACTATTCATATTGCATGGAATTGAGGAACTATTGAAATTGTCAGAGACTAAGCCTACCGGATCGATCAGTATTTACAAGCTTTAGGACTACATCGAGGACTGATTTTATATTCAATGATTTTATATTCAAGGCAGTTTTACATAGAATATCTTGATGTAGTTACAATATAGATAAACGTTGTTCTCCGGGTAGTTTGTAGTGTTGCCCAAATGCAAGAACAAGACAAGACTTAGACAGTCTTGGTCTTGCTCCAATACACCTGGTCTTGGTATTGCACTCCCGGTCTTGATCTTGGTCTTGCAGCAAGAGTCTTGCAAGTCTTGCAGTTACCCATTAGCCTATTGCTATTTATTAAACGTTTCTTTAGATCTTAGAACAACGTAACAGAGCAAGTACATTTTAAGCTTGAATTAACATAGCCATAATAAAGACCAACCACATTAATTAATGTCTAAACAACTGACACCGGGTAGGCTTTGACGCCACGATCTAAGCCATCCGTGTCTATGCTCTAACGAACTCAACTATCTACCATGCCCCACGGAAGTCTATCTGTTTCTTAATAAACATTTGCATTTAATAAGCTTACATGTGCTGAAACATGGTTAAAACACAAAAAAAAAACAAAATAATGACATAAACTTGACTGTATTTTAAAGAACGTTATCTGCCTAGAAGGGATTGATGGACCCCCTACCATATATGAAATTGAAATCTTAAAAAAGATTGGTATGTGGCAAAAAATCCACATGCATGTATCAAAGGCACAGATTCTTTAGGTGATAAGATAACAAACTATAATTTTAAGTTAACTAAGTTAACAATCTTAGCTCTACTTTTGTTTAAAAAACTAAGTCGAAAAATAAAGAGTAGGTAAAAGAGCAATAATAATCAAAAGAAGTTATTTTAAATTAAGGAGATATGTAATTGGTAATAAGGTAATAAGTATATTTTTTTACATGTCCACTTTTTCCAGCGGTTATTAAAAAGCTTGTAGTATCTCCACCGAAGTTTGGTTTTTCAGGAAGAAATATTTGTAAATCCTTTTTGTGAAAAGATATTAGATGCTTTCTTATAACTGACGTGTTTCTGTTTTTAATTTTCTTTTCAACTTTTCTATCTAGGCACAATTTACGAAAAGCAATTTGGGATACATGAATTATTTCGAAAAACTCATCATATTTGCTTTTAGGT